GAAACTATCAAAATCATAAAATATATCAGTTGACATCACATCACCATTATTAAATTTTTAATAAAAGAAACTCATAAAATACGATCATAGTCAAATTGTAAATATAAATAATTTCATTATTGAATGATAAATATATTAACATATTGATTTTTACTTTTTTTTTCTCTTTTACTGTGAATAATGGTCAAAACTATAGAAGATAAAAAGAAAATTGTTAGAAGTTCGATTAATCTTATATGGGAAGCTACTGTTGGAGAAATTAAAAAAATTGTTTTTAATAACCAATTACGTTCAGCAGCAATTTTCTTAAGTGATGGCACTGAGGATACCAAAAACTTGAACGCACCTGGAGTAGTTCTAATTGCTGAAGAAACTTATCGAAAAATCATCAATGATCTAGCTGACATGAAGGGGAAAGATTCTGTTGCTACTAAAGATATATTCAATATCAAAATATTTTTATTGTCGCAGATTATAACGAAATTGGATTAAAATGAAATTTAAAGTTTCTATTTAACCCTAACACTAAAAAAATATATTTCGAAAGCTTTCCTTATTTTACACTATACAAAATTTCATTTTTAATCAGATTTCGTTTTAATCTGTCACATTTATTAACCAATTGCGCAGTAACATTAAAATCCTTTTAAAATAAAACTTAGGATCTAGATAGTGACAATTTATCACAAGTCGATGAGCTAATGTTTAATGCCCAAGCAAGTGAAAACGATACATTAAATTTGGAAGAAGGTCAACATACTGAAGATAGTCACATAAATGATTATTTTAAACCTTCAAAAAGGATGAAAAATAATGTAAAAGATTTCAGAAATTGTTAACATTAAGAAATAGATGGTTTAATATCTAATTTTTTTTATTAAATTGATGGTTAATAAGAATGCTTCGAAATATCCACATGTTAATGAGAATCAGGAGGTAACAAAGATTTTCAATAATGTTAAATAAGCGTAATTAATTATTAACAAATCATCACAACCTCAGCAAAGAGATAATGTCAATAATGACTTTGAAGAAACTGACAAATTATTATCTGATTCTCATTCGTCAATTAATGTTACTGTTGTCAATAATGAATTTGAAAGTAACGAAGAAATCGATGCCTTATTACCTGATTCTCATTCATCAATCAATGTTACTGCCAATACTTCGCAAGCAGTTAGCACCAATAATCAAATTTCAATTGATAACAAATGCGTTACTGATAATCAAGTAAGAAAATTTCATTAACGTTAAGAGAATTTGATAATTTCCTGTAACTAAGTTAACCTAGAAATCTAATTTATTATTTACAAATCACAAACTTAAGCAAGCTGAAAATAACGGAGAATTGGTTGAATCTATGTTCAATGATGAGGAAGTTGATGAATTATTATCTGATTCTCATTCACCAATCAATGTTACTGTCAATACTTCGCAAGCAGTTAGCATCGATAACCAAATTTCACCTGATAACGAATGTGTTACTGATAATCAGGTAAGAAATTTTCATTAAGAGAATTTGAAAGTTTTCTATAACTAAGTTAACTTCAAAATCTAACTTATCATTGACAAATCACAAACTTAAGCATGTAGATGAATCTATGCTCAATGACCATTCCAATGACCAGCCCAATGATCAGCCATCAATTAATGTTATCTCAGGAATGCTTGGACAAACGACCCTGGCAGAAAATAGTACACTAGCCGATGATATTGAATCGATTCAAGATAATGATTATGTAAGAATTTCAACTAGTCGATTAATAAATTTCAAAAAAAAACTATTGATATAGATTCTTGTCAAAAAAATTTGACAGGAAGAGGACTTTGATTTTGCTGAAAATTCAAAGAATTCGAAACGTAAAATACATAAATTTGACAATAGAAGTGTAAAAAAAAATAAAAGATTGAAGAAAAAATACGAAAAACAACTGTATACTTCGGAGTCTGACTATGAAGAAAGCCAAAATATAAAATTTTCAAAGAAAAAGATAATGAATCGCAATAAAAAAAGCAAATCTTTATCGGATCCTTTGGGTATTATGATAATTATTTATGTATATTATTTATTATTTATCATTATAAGAAAAATATTAAATTATTATAGAAATACCAGCTTCACATAATGATAGCTCTACAGATGACTCAGCTGAAAATAGAGTGGGAAGCGCCAATTTTCCAATTGTTCTTATAGAAAGAGATGAATGTTTTAGCAGTAACCAGATAAACTCTAGTGCAGTGTTGTCAAACAGTTTGTTCATTGGTAATTGTCACATTCTTTTATTCTTTTATTTATCACGTAACATAATAAATAATATAATAAAAGGATGTGACAATTACCAATAACAAACACTGATAACAAATTTTATTATTCTATTCATTTTGTTATTTTTAAAAGAGGATAGATGAAACAGCGAATGTACCAGCAACCCGATCAGATATTCAAGTAAGCATTCATAATCAAAATTTAAAATTTAAAACATGTTACATAATAAAGTTTAAGTAAAATTATCAAATTAAAAGGAATCATTCACGCAACTGGATAGTTCTCGAAGTTC